AGAGGGAGAGGGAGAAGCAGGCTCCCCACCTAGCAGGGAGCCCGATGCGGGACTCGATCCCAGAATCCTGGGATCATGACCTGAGCCAAAGGCAGACGCTTAACCATCTGAGCCACCCAGGCGCCCTTGTTTTTTCTTTTAGGAAATATACACTAAAGTATTTGGGGTGAAAAGGTATTAGATCTGCAATTTATTCTCAGTTGGTTCAGAAAAATATAGAGAGGGAAGGAGACTGAGAAAATATATGTGCTAAAATGTTAACATTTAAAAATTTTTTGTACTTCTTTTTGCAACTTTTCTATAAGTCTGAAATTATTTCAAAATAAAAAAAAATCAAAAAAAGAGAGACAGTTCCTGAACGTAGGTACTTTGCCAAAAGCACATTCATGTTACTTTCCCATCTTTTGGAGATGTGGATTAGCATTTCTCTAATTTTCAGTTTAAAGAATTAAGTAATTTTTCAGTTAAAAGTATTATGTAATTTGGGGGTGCCTGGGTGGCTCAGTCGTTAAGCGTCTGCCTTCGGCTCAGGTCATGATCCCGGGGTCCTGGGATTGAGCCCCACATCGGGCTCCCTGCTCAGCAGGAAGCCTGCTTCTCCCTCTCCCACTCCTCCTGCTTGTGTTCCTGCTCTCACTATCTCTCTCTGTCAAATAAATAAAATCTTTAAAAAAAAAAAAAGCATTATGTAATTTGTATGGTAGTTTTCAAAAAATAAGAGCATAATGCAAAACTTTCTTTTGGTTAACTTGGTAACAATATATAGGTTAACAAGGCAGTATTCTTTAGAAAAATTTTTGCGTAACTTTTCCCTTTGTATTCTGCAGCCTAAATCTGTCATTGTTGGACTAATTAAAGAAATGATTGCCAAGTTTCAAGAGGAACTTCCCCTGTATTCTCTACCGTCATCTGATGAGGCACGGCAGGTAGACTTGCTAGCCTATATTGCAAAAATCACTGAAGGTTTGTATTTTTGTTGATCAGAGTTATGAACTTACAATTTCTCACTAATATCCTTTATTCTCTGCTACTGGATTTCTGTAAATAAATATATTCATGTATCTGTACCTATCTGTGTTGAATCAAAAATCCTATACGTCTATCATAGGGTGTTACCATACAGTTCCAATAATTGTAGTTTCTTAAAATGGAAAAGATTACTCTTACACTGACAGATAAAATAATTTGGTGTTTTGCTCAAAATCACTTGATATGATGATCCCAAACCTTTTTCATTATATGTTTATGTGGCTTTTTGCCTCATTCAATAAATATATTGGATCAGAAAATTTGTGATTCTCATGTTTCTCATTGAGGATAAAGCAAAATATCCATGCTTATAAAATTCAGTAAGGTGTTAAACATTTTTGCATTAATAGAACAGAGTGGTAAGAATCAGAATGTTTTTCAGGATTATGGAAATTCTATTTTTTAGTCTTATATAATATGTTTTAATTGTTTAGAAAGATATTTTCTTTTTAAAGGGGTAGTCTCTATTTAGTAGAATATTTACTGAGATTCCTGTCTGTCTTGCTTGTCACTTGTTCACATATTTTTGAGTGCTTCTTCTGGACTAGCACCATGTTTTCTGTCCAAGTGATTGAAGGTTGGTGTATTTTTTTAAGATGCTAAAAAAGATTTTTGATATTATTTCAAAATTCTCATGGCAATGCACTTTTATTTCTAGGTGTCTCAGACATGAATTCAAAGAACTGGGTAAATCACGAGCATAAAACAGTCAATAAAATTACTGTGGTTGGAGGTGGAGAACTAGGTATTGCTTGCACATTAGCAATCTCAGCAAAGGTATGTAAGCATCGTGCTTATACATCCATCTATCATGTTGCTACACTTTCAGGCAGTTTATGTTTAACATACAAGAAATGATGGCTTCATTTTGTCTTGTGGAAAAACCTCATTTTGCCTTAAAATATATTTAGTAAGTTGGCAAAAAAAAAACTGAAAGCTCTCATTAGGGATATTGCTTCTTAATTAGTACGTGGTCATGGAATAGGCTTTAAAAAAGAGATTTGAACAATGGGCTCATCATCCTATTCCAAGGGAAACCTCAACGTGACATTTATCTGACTTAGTCACCAATTCCTTTGTGTTTTCTGAGTCATGCCGCTTTAATTAAGCTCTTATTTAATATAATACTTAATTTTAGCTCTTTCTAAAATTAACTTTTTTTTCTTAAAAATTGCCTTTTCTTGTGTAATTACTCCACTTTCTCTTAGGACCATAGTTTCTAAATTGATATATTTTTTTTATTCTTATGTTAATCCCCATACATTACATCATTAGTTTTAGATGTATCTAAATTGATATTTTACACTAGTTTGAAATTTGTTTATTTTTCCATCAGTCCTTTTTACTAGATCTTCTGTATATAAATTATTTTCAGAAAGGCTTAAATTCCCTTCCAGAGAGGTTCAAAAGACCTTCCAGGGTCCCAGTATCATCGTAACAGCATGTCTGTGTCTTTTCAGGGATGTAGCCCAGAGTGGAATAGCTGTCCCTCTCTGTTTATTTGGTAGCGGGCATTTTGTTTTTTTCTTTTCTATTAAAATCTGATTGTTTGTCAGGCTCCTGGGTGGCTCAGTCGGTTAAGCATCTGCCTTCAGCTCCAGTCATGATCCCAGGGTCCTAGGATCTAGTGCCGCATCAGGCTCCCTGCTCATTGGAGAGCCTGCTTCTGCCTCTGCCTCTGCCCCTGCTTGTGCTCTCTCTCTCTCGCTCTCTCAAATAAATAAATAAGATCTTTAAAAAATTTTTGTCACCTAAACTCTTCCCTTTTTATTTCAGACTCACATATGTCTTAGGGATAGGTTGTACTTTAGTAAATAATTAAATTGTATCCAGGGAGCTAGAAAATTTTAAAAGCTGGCTGCACAGAACAACATATACTAACTTTTGACTTCATTTCATTTCCTCCACTTTCCATCTGAATACACAAATCCCTCTTAATTGGAGTTTGAATTGTTTTCAGTTCCTTTGTTACTAAACAGAATGATTCCATAAACATTGCTTCACAAGTTGCTTATTTTCTCCTCTGAATTTTCTTTTAAGTGTACATAATCTCGAAAACAGTACTAGTGTGGGGGCGCCTGGATGGCTCAGTCGGTTGAGCGTCTGCCTTCAGCTCAGGTCATGATCCCAGGGTCCTGGGATCGAGTCCCGCATTGGGCTCCCTGCTCAG